AGAGAAGGGTGATAATTCAGCACAGCCTTAGTTTGGACTCCTGTTAGATTGCCAGTGTGTGGACTCTGATTGCCAGGAGCTCCCATTATTCAGATTTCAGACATACTTCTATTTCTTGAACAATTTTAGCATTTGGAGAAGAAACGTAATATACTTGGTTTCCAAGAAGGAAGAAAAAAAGGATCTATTGACAAAGCAAACCCAAGTTTAAAGATTTCTTGGAATCAGGAAAAAAAAAATCTTCACACCCATTTATATGCGAAATATATAAAAAGAAAAATACCACTTGGAAAATACTGATAAGTCTTATCAGTTGTGGATTCTAGTGATTGAGGGGTGTGTATGCGATGCTTTTCCTGATTTGGGTGTTTGAATCGTGTACAAGTGTAGCTCCTGAAGTTTAGGACCAGTGTTGACACCCTTTGCTTGCCTGACACATAGCACGGACACATGTCTGAGATTTGAAAGTGGAAAATGTATTGCGTGATTTGTTTCTGCTTTGTGATATTTCAGCCAATTAAGCTCTCTTTGGCTACCTGACAGGCTGCCTAATGTTCAGTGTTGAACTGAAAGCAAGGGAAGATTGTCCGTCTTGGCTTTTCTCAATTCATGTTTTGGTCTGCTACTCAGTATCTTTGTCCAGCTGTAATCATTACATAGAAAAGTAAGGAAAAAAAAACAAGCAGAAGAAAAGATGAATTGATTTCTGCTAGAATCCAGTGAGAGGGAAAGTTCTTTATGCAGATTTTCTCAGGCTGAACACAATACATCAAAGACATTACCTTTTGTCTGGAATTTACATGAAGTTTCATTTCCCCACTGATAATATCTTTCCGAATGTAAACATTAAATGCTCAGTGGTCATTTTTAGATACACACAACAAGTAGTTTGAGGATTTATTTCTCCTCACAGGAAGCTGTGGTCATCACTCACAAGTTCTCATGAGGAGTTCCCAAACTTGTTCTTCATGGTTTACATTTGGGTAGTTCTGGTAACAAAGATAATGTACTCAACACTTTCTCATGGATGTGAAGATGAAGTTGGGGTTCAAAGGAGACCCTATAATTGAGATGTACAGAGAAGAGTAATGCACTCATAAAAACTATTCTTCGTAGAATTCTTAAATGCCCTACCACAATAATCATTGGAGGGATGCATGTTTAGTTCTGGCACACTTCAAAGAAACAGTGGCAGAAATGTTACTTCTCCCAGGGTAAGATTTAGTAGCTCAGCTGCTCCCCAAGTTATGCTGCTCCCCAAGTGATTTATTGTACCATAAATAGATTTGTTTTATCTCACAGTAGGAATACTCACAAATCTCCCTTTGATTAAGTCTGTCAAAGAACTGATAAAAGGGTGGAGCTAAGCACTAAAGCCATCATTTCTTTCTTCTGCTGGACAGTTCGGTGCATTTAAGAAGTAATGGATTGTATAATGAGTTGAGAGGTTAGTAAATTCTTTTTAAGACAAAGCACAATCAAGGATCACAAAGAGATTTCATGGCAGTCCTGTGCCAATAATTGTACAACATTAAGAATTTTTGAAGTGGGGTAGGAGAGAGGAATCACCCACTTCAACCATTCTTCAACTTGGAATTTGTATACTAACATACATGTGCATAAACTCCAATAACTGTAAACTCTGCAAGTCCAGGCTTGCAAAAATAGGGAATGTCAACTCCATGTTTATTCATTTCTTATACATTTTTATAGATTATTATAATCCCAAAGGATTGTGTTCAGAATTGTACATTGGGAGAAGGGAGTAGTGTGGTGTTTCAAGTACCTCGTTACTCTCTGGTTGAAAGCTGACACAGTTGTAATTCAATTTCCTTCTTCTATTCAATCCTTTCTGTTCCTGTTTGCTTGCACAATTAACAATGTATGTTTCACAGTCATTTATATATTATGGTATTATTTAAATTTATGTGCATGTTTACTTATGAACTCTTCATGAGATATGTACTAAGTAATATGTTTTGCACAGAGCTATACACCCAAAACAGTCCTGGGAAGTTTACACTTTTTTTATTTCTCTAGGATAGGTTCTGTGTAAAGCAAGCAAATGTGTCTAAAAAGTTTGTAAAGGCATAAATCTCTCTCTTTTTAATTGAAAGAGTTATTTTTCCTCCAAACATAAATAAAAAAAAGAATTTTGCTTTTTATAAGAAAGTATCTTTAGGAATATAAGCTGCAATAAAAATACATAAATTTCTAGAAAAACCTACCTGAGGCTGTCATAAGCTAACAGCCTGTTAGTTATTGTTATTTTGGCAGTCCCCAGCAGATAGAAGGGAAGAAAGTCTAATTGAACATGATGTTGACTGCATTCAGCATGAGAGTCATACATTATTGACTGGACGCTAAAACATATAAGGAACGGTTGCTGGAATTGGGTATGTCTAGTTTAACGAAGAGAAGGACGAGGGGAGACATGATAACAGTGTTCCAATATCTCAGAGGCTGCCACAAAGAAGAGGGAGTCAAGCTATTCTCCAAAGCACCTGAAGGCAGGACAAGAAGCAATGGATGGAAACTAACCAAAGAGCGAAGCAACTTAGAACTAAGGAGAAACTTCCTGACAGTTAGAACAATTAACCAATGGAACAACCTGCCTCCAGAAGTGGTGAATGCTCCAACACTGGAAGTTTTTAAGAAGAGACTGGTCAGCCATTTGTTTGAAATGGTGTAGGGTTCCTGCCTGAGTAGGGATTTGGACTCGATGACCTCCAAGGTCCCTTCCAACTTTATTATTATTATTATTATTATTATTATTATTATTATTATTATTATTATTATTATTATTATTATTATTATTGTTATTGTTATTGTTATTGTTATTGTTATTGTTATTGTTATTGTTATTGTTATATGGCATCAAGAAAGTAAGACAGGCAAAAAGAGCTTAGAGATGGAGGAACCAAAGTCTTATTTGGTGTAGATGAATTCAAAAAGTAAGGTTTGTTTAGAATAGTTAGAAACTACAAAATGAGTATAAAAGAGCCTGGAGGAAAGGGACACTTTGAGAAGAAAAATTAAAAATGGGCAGAAGTGCAGGTTCTGAGGAAAGGATAAGTCAACCAAATATTATAGAAGAAATCTCATTACAAAAATGACTTGATAATGAAGAATGAACTGTACACAGACAGTTCTTTGTTTCCCTAGTCTAGCCATCCTTCTCAGTAATCTCCCCAGCTATTACAACACATCCAATTCAATGGATGCAAAAGCTTTTATATATGCCTAATCAAGAATTATTTTACCCTCAAAGGATGTGCAGCTCATTTCTGCTAAAACTTTAGTCAATCATTTGGAAGCATTGATCCGGTAAAAACTGAAAAAAGCATGTGAAAGAACAGAACAATTCTATCTTACATACTGGAGTAAAAAACCCTGCAAGATTGAGGTTCTAAAACCCTGAGACTATTTCCCCATATAGTTATCTCTCTGGCTCTTCAGTGTTTTGATTTTGAAGAGATCTTCTGACTTTAAGGCTATTCCTCTTGCCAAATTTAAGTTACTATTGGTCTTGAGTTGACCAGCATAAAACTCACTATCCTTACCGCAATCCAGTCTCTATTGGTTCTGTTTTAGCTCAGTGCTGACTTGTATTACCATCGTGTTGCATAACCAGGACATATTAAGCAACTTGCATGTCACCAACCAGTGAAAAACCATACAGAACACTGAATGCTTCTTGATGGAACTTGGAGAGGTGTTACAAAAAAGCAAAGTAAAACAAGCTTTTAAAATAATTGTATACTTTGAACACCCTAATCTTATTATTGAATAAAGTGCAAGCAGTGAAAATGTCTCTCCAAACTAGCTAACTGAATTAAAATTAAGTGTAATTAAGTTGTAGAAATATCAGAAGGCGAAACTTTCTGTCTCTGGTATAGCAGAGAATTGTGTTTTTTCAGCATTAGATCTATAGAATGAGGGATCAGTGTCCTTTAGATGTTGCTGAACTAGTATTTCCAGCCATTGGACAGCTTGATTAGGCATGCTAGCAGCTGTGATTTAGCAACATCTGTGGGGCCCCAGATTCCCCATTCCTAAGATTTACCTTATTCAAATTTGTTATACCCCCCCATCGCCAATGAATTCTTGTTGTGTTTATATATATATAAACACAACAATTATATATATATATATATAATTGTAATGTTTGAATGCATGCAGTTTTCTGAATCAAATATACCCCATTTGTCTTTATAAAATATAGGAATTTGACCTAATCTTTCTTTATTCTTCTTGTCAACTTTTCCAATTCTCTTATTATCGCCTATTGACCTCTCAGTAATACGCAACCAGCAGTGATTAATTTATCAAAGGATATACACCCCAAACTCAACCATAATGCAGTTTGGCTGATTCTAGTTTAAGCTGATAACCTGTGGCCCACAAGCCACAAAAGTCACAACTTGCCCATCCCTGCTTTAGAGAACCAAGGAAAATGACAAAACGTGACTTTATAATATTCATCCATTGACCCAGAATTGTCTAAGAGCAGTCTTTTTCTTTTCTTTTGTATCTGCAAACAAATTTTCTTCCAGTTCAAGAATTTTATTGGCAAAGCCAAAATGAGGCTTTGAGTTATTTCATAATGTTAAAAACTAAAAAAATAAAGTAAAATAAAATGAGGTGAAATAGACGTTTTTTCATAGCAAATAAACAATGTCATATGAATTGGTTTGCTAAAGCTACACTTAAGCAAAAGATCATCATACATCTATTATATTTTCCTTTAAAAACTAAAAAAACTGAAAGTTTCGATATGAAAGATAAATCTATAATTTTTTTTAGCCACTCTGCATTAGCTGAAGTACCCATACTTTAATTTGGAAGCATTTGGTCCTCTTGTTCAGACAGCTGTAGTTTGCTGTTTCTTCCATTTTTGGATAAAGATCTAAATTCCTGATGTGCCGTGAATGTATAGTAGCATCTTTGTGAATCTCAGGCAAAAAACAATGAAATGGCTCTATTTTTGTGAATTTTAGGACCGCCTATTTTTCGTCATGGAATATGTCAACGGAGGAGACCTAATGTTTCAGATTCAACGTTCACGCAAATTTGACGAGCCTCGCTCCCGCTTCTATGCAGCAGAAGTCACATCGGCACTCATGTTTTTACATCAACATGGCGTCATCTACAGGTACTTTTCTTTCAGAGGTTATAAAAAAAGAATTATTAAAGCTCTTCATTTCATTGGTGTTGGCTAAAGTCCAAGGTCTCTTAGCAACCGTATTGGCTGTTAGTTTCTGCATGCTAACACAGAACTTTTTTCTTACTCTTTTTGAGGTGGGGAGAAGACTGTTTATCATTCTGAATGTTAGCATTTGAATCGTCTCTGCAGGCCTTGCCAGCTGTGGGTGCCAGTTTTGTATTATAAAACAAGCAACGCTTATTTTAAAAACTTGGCACGCTGTGACCCATCGTTGACTTTGGTTGCGGATCAGGGCAATCTCTTCAGTTTTCTTCTTCTGCCATGGATTTCCTTTCATTTCGGAACTCCCTGCCACTTCCTGGGTTTGTTTGTCTTAATTGTCTCCAGTCTGAGATGGGATAATCATTTGATGAGGCTTTGTACACAAAGTCTTGATGGTGAGGGTGAAGGCTCAGCCACTAACAGGAAGAACCTCTTTGGAGACAACTTGAATTTGTTCCCTGTAGCCCCTGATTGGCATCTGGCTGAACAATAACAAAATCTGAATTGCTAACTTTTCGTTATGCCATGAAGAATACACTTAGAGATAAATATTTATTATTAGAAACAAGGAACTTCTTAATACATTTTCACCTATTATCTCTCATATGTTATTAAGGCCTTTATCTTGTCGTTTCACTCTTCCTCTCCTTCTTTTCCCTTTAAAACAAAAACAAAGAAAAGAAACTGGCAGTTTTTCACGACTTCAGATAAAATTTGGCAGGCATATACAGAAGAAACTGCAGTAAGGGAAGTTGGCTGTGGGATCACTTCTCTTTCATGAAGTACTTGAAGAGGGCAGTCACAAAGCACTATTCACAGGGAGGTTGCTGCAGATATATCATTGCCAACTACCAGTAAAAATGAAGCAGAAAAATAATACCCGTTTGGAAGCACATAGTAATATATATTGGAGGGGAGAGAAAATTAAGAATTTGTTGCTTTTCCTATCCAGATCTTGCCAGCTTGAACCTCAGTGTACTGGGAATTCAGTGGCATGTATGTCAGTCCATTTATTCCTCTGAAAGAGAGCTAAGCAACTTAAAACTTACTACAATATTTTAAGAGCAAAATAAGTCACACATAATACATAATACACACTATATATTTCAGAGAAAGATAAAGAGAGGAAGAGAAAGATTTTAATAAGGATTCTATAAACAGTATTTTATTCCCCCTCTTCATCCTTCAGTTCTTTTCAGGAAAAAAAATCTTACCCTGGTATGTAAAAATTCCTAGAAAAATTCTGATTCTGTACTTACTTTGGAAAATTTGATTTCTATGCTGTTGATACTTCCATTTCCCAATCCCTCTGAAATTTGCAATTTGAAGATAATATGTATTTGTATGTGTTTACACCACATACTCAGAAATGCTGAGAACGAAAAGCAAAAATAATTACTTTCCCTCAAATTGCCAAAATATAGCAACAATCCCCCTCAACTCCACATCATATAAAAGGGAACTACAATAAATTATCTGCATCTGAAACACACTCACTTCTTGTGTGTTCATATGTCTGTCCATAAAAAAGTTTGATCACGAAAAATAGATCATATGAGGAGACGGGGCTGAAAAGCTGCCAAGCCACCATTCCCTTTGAAGGATTTGCTAATATGGTTGCAGCCAAAGAACTAAGAAGTGAGATAAAACTAAGATTTCCTCAAATGGAAACAACTGCTATGCTTGCAGAACCACAGTATTTCAGGGCACAAACTAGTTTCTTAGCAGTATAACATACAACATAGCTGAGCTGAAAATAAATAGAACAGAGATGAAGTCATGGAATCTCAGAAACATGGAACCAATCAGTAAAGAGCAAGTAGAAGTGTTGTTACTGCCTATATCTTTTGTGTTGTGTACTCAACACAAATAAATTGTTTACAGTCAAATCTTTTTTTTAAAAATGGCCTTGAATGTGTCACAATGTCATGACCTATTTTCGATTTAGTGCTACTGTATAGAAAGAAGATGGCTGTTTTTAACAAAGTTGTTGAGAAATAGGATCTGCTCCTATCTGTCAAAATTCCCATCACTATAATTAAGAAGCAGATAGCCAGCTGCCAAACAAAGTACCTCTTCACTGCATTGCCTGTATAAATGCAAAGATTACTGGTCTTTAAGTCTTACTAGTAGTTGTAGTTCAGTGACATCTGGAGTGCCAAAGATTGCATTCTCCTGCTGAGAGAAAGGATCAATGTCATGCAATGTGGAAATTTCCATGAACATTTTCTTCTCCAATGGAAAGAAACCAAGAGTGGTTTTTGTCTTCATGCCTTTTCCTTATATGATGAAAAACTAGGGGACTGGCAAAAGAAAAGAATTAGTTGAGAATTTCAGTGTTGTATCACCCTTTATAACAATAAAGTAAGCCTCTGATTTTAATGGATTTTACAGAAGGAAGAATATCTGTTTAAGCTGAATTGTGTCCATTAAACTGAGGATTTACTGGTAGATATAAATAGGGAGTGGTGGCCCATCAAGTAACCTGGCCTCAAGCCATTGTAGCATTTTAAAGGTGATAGTCAACACCTGGAAGCAAATCAGCAAAAAATGTAGCTCCTGCAAAAGAGGTGACACTCTCTTTGGATTTGCACAAAATCATGTGCATTTTGAGCCAACTGAAGCTTCTGGTTACTCTTCAAGTGCAGCCCTATTGTATGTATTACAATAGTCCAAAGAGGAGGTGACCATGGCGTGGATGACATGAGAAGGGCCCTTAACAAATATCAAAGAAGGAAGCCATTTTTTTCATTTCCTTGAATTCCGAGCACATCAGAAGATATGACTTTTTTTTTTTTTTTGAAAGAACGTAACTACAGCAACTCTGGCCCTTTCTCCCCAAAGAATTTTGCATTACTGGTATCCCTGAAATATAACTGACACTCATAAAAAATGTTTAATGTGGATGAAGTGATACTTGGCTTATTGTAGGAGGTACAAATAGCAACTACTTTTCAGGTTGCAGTCACCATAGCCTGGTTCTTGAGAACAGATAAACAAGGAAACATAAACCTCAAGGATTTTTCATGAATGTAGAGCCTGTCATATATTGATGCCAACTGCAGTTCTTCAATAGAAGAAAGATAATAAATTGAAGCACACATGCCTGGAGGTCACAGTCATCAAAACAAGATTTAGCAACTGTATCTGAATTAGCCCAGTGAGCCTTTGGCTGAGGTGACATTTGAAGAAGAGTTTTCTGGGTTCCTAGAAGTTGGCCCATTCCAAATTACCTTCCCTTTGTACCTCCAACTGGAAAGGCTACTAGAGAGTGGCACTTGTGCCATTGTAAGAGCTATACCTTCCTTAATATTCATCTGCATCATGTAAACAGATCATCATGTAAACAGAGACTTGACATTAACATGGGAAGAATAGGGTGGGCCTTTTGTTAAAAGGAAAAAGGAGAAACCGAAGAAGGCAACCAAGAAGCATGCCAAGTTTACATTCCTGAGAGGGCAGTCGTTTTCCTGTAGAGTTTGTAGGAAGGGGACCAGTGCTTTCTGCCTGATAACACTAATTCTACGAAGAGGAAGTTGGGAAGCAGTATTTATCTTCTGTTTAAACGTCAATTATTTTAGTTTATTTGGTTGTTATATTTACTTAACAAGAAACTAAAAATGAGCCTGTATTCCCTGGCTGAGCTGAAAAATATATGCTTTTATATACAGAAAGGGACAGAAGCACATATGTCTTATTTTTTTCTATATACACAGAACTTTCCTTTAACGTTTCTCTGGAGAATAATGAAGACTGCTTGTGAAGTAGTTTGGTATCAAGAGAACTGAAGAAGAATTACATTTCTCCACCATACCTATTTGAGCTAAAATAGTATTTTTGCGCTGATATTTTTTATCATCAGGAATTTAGATATTTACTGTGCTATGCCCATTTCATCCAGATGCTTTGGAACAATTTTAATCTTTTACAGTTAAACACTTGTATGGCTTGAAATCCAGATACATTATTGGTAATCTATTAGTAGTTATTAGGTGAATAGAGGACTAGTTGCAAGATCTTCTCTTTGGAATAAATATACTCATCATTGCTGTGGGTGAGAAGTAATAGTTCAGGCAGCAGCAGAAGTGAGGCCAGAACAACCTAGAACTATTCTTGCTTTCCTCACAAGGACCCAAAAGGAATGACAGTAGGGATTGTTTTTTTTTCCTGCAACAATTTGAAATATCTTATCCTGACAAGAAAGAAGGCAGCCTAAGTATTCTTAAGGGGTCTAGATAATCCACTTCTAGACTGCTCATCAACTGCAGTCAGACTGTCTTCTCAATAACCTTCCATAAAATGGGAAGGTTGGAGATATGATTATAGTTACCTAAGAATGTTGGGTCCAAGAGGGGCTACAATACTGTCTCCTTCAAGGGAAAAGGCACTATCCTGTCTCTCAAAGGGGCCAACATCACACATTGATCCAATCCTGGCAATTCCCTGGCTGCTTTTGTAATCAGGAGGTGGCCAGGTCCAATGAACAGGTGGCCAAACTGAGAGCACAGAGAATCTTGGCCATTTTATTAATAGTCATCAGTTCAAACTTAGATCATATAACAAAACCAGGCCCTAGGCACCTCAGCTGGACTGCCCAGTTAGAATTCAAACCAGAGCTGATTTAAATGACTTTATCTATCAGAAAGTCAGAATAGTGGCCGTATAGATGATCCTGCTGGCCCTCCCTGACCATTAGGAGACTGAGTCACTCTGAACAGTGTCTATGTAATGTTAACCATCTCACTGTAGAAGGAGCTATTCTGTTAGAGTAAACCCATGAATCCTATGTGGTATTAAGGACTTTATATAATACACTGTGGGAAGTGCTATATTGCCACAAATTTTGAACCCAGCTAGTTAGGTTTAAGGTTTGGGTTCTCAGAAAAATCTGTTTGTCATTTACTCATTGGTATCCACAATAACCACACTTTATTCCTGGTGCTAGA